TTTAAAATTGCTAAAAGTATTATTACTGGAATTCGAAGTAAAATGTTAATTTTGTGGTAAAGTCACATCTCGTGAGAACTATATTTACCCCAAGGTCGAATTGTTAAACTTTCCGCAACGAATTGAAAAGAAGAAGAAAAATATACAATCGTTTCCACCGATGCCTGCTTCCTTAACGCGAGCTGGGCTTCTCACCTCCACGTTTCACCATCAGCTAAGCAAATAGAGGACTGGCTTCTTGGTCAGTCTTACGACTGAGATTTGCCGTTAAAGCATACTATGATTTATAGAAATGGGTTGACCTTGCTGTCGATACTTGGTCTTGTTGTCAGGACGACTTAGTAGAACGCACCTTATCCGAAGTCGTCTGCCATATTAGTTGTCATGATTCCCAGCATTTGACAGTAGACTTGGTACATTCTCGAACGCTTCGCCGGCATCGTAGTCGGCATCATCAGTTGTCAAAAATGCGTTCGACGCAAGACGACAAGTCGAAATTCAATGTAGACTTGAGGATTTTCATTCATTTAATCGTGAGCCGAGTCACTATAAGTAGAGTATGAGAACTCATTGACGCTGATATGATTTACAACAATGAGACTAATGACACTAAGAAAACAGTTTATAAAGACAAAAAGGTTATTTTATCCTTCCCAGAAAAAAAAGTTTCCAACAGGAGGATACTTACTTCATAACCTCATAGAGATAGGGAGCGGTTTGAGGGCATAAGTGGCAAACTTACTTCCATTTCGAGTGAAAGTGTTGGGTGAATAGATTCGAAGATCGCTTTAACCAGAAGACGACGACGGATTCCTTTTGACCATCTGTTGATTTGCTTTACTGGAAGATTCACGCTGACGTTGTTTCGAGGTAATCTCCTTCGATTCCGGTGAAAGGGTGATAAGCTTTCGTCCGTCATATGACGAACATCATCAGAGCAACGCATCATCGTCACAACAAGATTGAAGCTAACGACTCAAGAAAACTCACCGGCAAATCCCTAAAAAGTAGTATATATACTCTACATCTGGCTTCTTTGATCAAGTATAAAGTGATTTGGTTAGTTAAGGTCATACGTCAACTTCGATGCTTGTGAGTGTGTCCGTCTATGTACGTGTATGTGCCTGTTTGTGTTCGTTGTATGCACAAAATTCGATGACATATATCTCCCCTCTTTCTATAAATATGTTATGGCCATGACTCCGATTGCGCAAAGTCGGACACTCGTCTGGTTTTGTTTATGATGTATGTAGAAAGAGGGAGATATGGGTCATCAAACCTTGATGGCCAAAAACAGACTTTCCTTTTTGCTGTCCTCATTACTTTGAGCCATTACTTCAGGTTTCATGCATAAGCTAACACAAACAGGCACATACACATACAGAGACAGACACACTCACATGTATAGAAGTTGACGTATGACCTTAATTAACCAAATCACTTTTTACTTGATCGAAGAGGCCAGATGTAGAGTATATATACCACTTTTTAGGAGTTTGCCGGTGAATTTTCTTGACTCGTTAGCTTG